TGTCGTATGAAAAAGAAGAGATGACTGTGAGAAAATAGTAAAACAAAGTTATTTCACAGTTCTAGAGTTAACCAGTTTTGTTAAGTGCATTTTCAATATTAGAATTGATTTAGTATTTTGTGCATTGTCATCGCACCTTCCCCGTGGACATTGACTCTTTCTCGCATGTTTAATATTTTCATATTTTATAAGGCAATACTTAGGCTTACCGTTTGATATGATTCTATGTTCATTTTGACTGATTTGCAAAGACGTCATTTGAATATGTGATCAGTCTGATGCCCGAAGGTATGCTTGGATCGATGGTCGCCTATCGGAATAACTAAACGGCCCATAGTAATGACAATTCCGTAAACTAGTTTGCAGTGATTCATAGTAATTAGGTAGACAGCAATATGGCCAATAGTACAAGTTTGTTGCTTATAAAAAGTATTTCTGGAAGGGTTCAGCTTCCATGTGTTTAATGGTTTATTTCACTTTGATTGCATGAGGTCAACCGCCTGACTTGAAGCTAAATTATTTTGCATATGCATGAAGCTTTTCTTTATAATTCAGTGATCAGCAATATATTTTCACCATTATTTTGAAATATTACAAGACTTACTTATCATTAAACCATTTGCATTCCATTAGCTAGTGTTTCTAAGATAGTCACTGGTTCTTTGCTAGAATGACAATAAGCAAAATCATCATACTCATCGTTAAACCTGCAATTGTTTGTGGTAAGATGGACACCATTTATAAAATTATTAGCGGTTTCGAATAGTATAGTGATTTTGCCGGATATATATTTTATATAAATCTGTAATACCTGGTTAGCAGGTAAGTTTGATGTAATTATCATTCAGATCTTGAGTTAATAATATTCTTGGCTTGGTACGGTCTTATATCGAAATAGTTGTTTATTGTCAATCTGCATTTCTCAATGGAATCGAATCTGAATGTAAGAAACTCTGTTAAAACCAGTGATGTACTTCGGAAAAATATCCATCTAAATGATTTTGTAATTGCAAAATATTTCAATGCTAAGAACATTATCTAAAAAACTTGTGTTTAAAACAGAATCTTCTTAAGGTATATAATAACCAGTTGTGATTAAAACCGCAGATAAACTCTCAGAATCCGGAATACCACACATCCAGACATTACTAATTCCGGTACTATTTTCAAATAATTGAGTTATAACACAGCAATTTACTCCAACTCTTGATTTAATCTTTAAACACTCGATATTGTCGATTATATATTGGTAGTAATCACAATCAATTGCGGTTTTAAAAATCATATAATGAAGGCATTGTATATCTTTACCTAGTATTATAGGCCTTGCATATTGATATCTTTGGTTGGCCTAATCTCTTATCTTTGCAATTAGGCTTTAACTAATAATGCATATAATTATTCGATTTTCCTGTAAATTAAAGCTGCACTTTAATATTGCTCTTTATTACATTTTTAAGCAATTCTTACATTCAGCAATCTCTTACATAAAGTTACAAAAATTGTCAGGTTACTTAAATATCCGATTGCTATTATATTGTATATTTACTCTTGAGAAATTGTGAAGTTACAAAACTGTTCAGGTATTGCCACTAAAAATAGGCATTATTCAAATTTATTCAAATTGAACACAAAAAGTCATAAATCATTTGAATTAGACTTAAATTCTGCTATTCAAGTTTATTCATTTCAATATAACCACACAATACGGTATTTTCATATCATAACGATTGACTTATCGTGGTATAATAATTGTTATAGATGAGCCAAGTTTGAATTAATTATTCACTTCTTCCACAATCTATAATCAAAAACACGTATGATTTTACATGCAGATGGTGGTTCAAATAAAATGTAAATTTCTCATAATTTAAGCATAATAGTGAAAAAACAGAAAATTTTGTGCAGTATGTTGCAACACCTGCTACACCTTGATCGACATATATTTTTTACGCCAGAATTTCTTTTTTTCGTGGTATCTCAGATTTCACTAATGTTTTGTTTCAAGAATATCTAAAAAATTGATATCATGGAACCTTTTCTATCTATTTTATTCCCATTTGCTCTATTTTTTCTGTTTCCGCTGCCCTTTAATTTGCAGGCCATTGTTCTTTCATTTCAGTTCTTTTGTTATTTGTTTATGGATGTTTTTGCTTTAGGCTAACCAGTTTATTTTTGTCTATTATTTTTTCTTTTAATTACATTATTTAATACTATTATTTCTCGTAAACTTCGCTTTTTGAAATGCAACAACATAAGAGACAGAAATTTAAAACAAAACTCAGCAACACCATCATTAATTGAAGCAAATAATGTTGGAGATGGTTGTTGATCAAACATTCCATCCAAACGGGTTCTGTTCCGACTAATATGGAACCAAAATACAAAGTGCTTCCCAGAATAGGTGTAGACATATTCTAAAAAAATGACGGAAATTATGTTGTGATGTTTTATACACTATTCCGGAGTTAAAACGACTTTTGGATCTCGGAGTTATAAGTGGAGGTAAAGATGTACATATCCATATCGAAATTTACAAATGAATTGACAATATGTTGGCCGATGAACTTAGGAATAACGGTTCAACGTAGTGATTACGAAAGATTTTAGCAAAATGACTTTGAACACCGGAATGAATCTTGCCGTTTGGAAAATAATATTGAACATTATAGACGTAATCAATTCTAAATTCAGAAGATAAAGGGAACAAAGACGGATTCGAAATACTGAGACTAATATGGGAATGTAGAGAAGCATTTCTGACCTTGTTTTATATAATGGTCAAAAGCTTTAGATAACATAGCCCGTATTTGGGGATATTGAAGTCGATGAATACAAATAGCGCGGAAATCGAAAGTGATCAGAAATTTTTATAAAGATGAATCTTCAAGGATATAGGTAAAAAATTTAAAGATTGTATATCGCTTTAAATATTAGGGCAGAATTTTGAGCAAAAATGAAAGAAGAGACCCAGATCTTGACGTCAAGCCGAAATGAGGTGATAACATTACCCTTAACTGTTCTGAAAAAAATTAGAAAAAAAATATCTCACGTCGTTTGGAAATTATGAGCTTTTAGGTGCAACCCAGAGTTTTGGTAGAATTATGACAATTTTTCGGTTATTGTGTTTAATTTTTATAGTGGATTTAAACTTTGGAACCATAACCTTAAAAAATACTTTTAGGACCGCAATAAAAAAACACAATTGACCCAAGTTTTCGAGAATCAAAACTTATTTTGAAAATTTGAGTTGGAGTTTGACTCAGCTCACGGACCTACCCTTTGGCAGTACTACCCATTACACACACGAATATATACCATATAAGATACTTTGCTAAAGAAACCATACCTTTAAAATGAATTCTGATGTCCCATGCATTGATCCAAAAATTAGAGTTAAATTTTAAACAACCGCTCAGGGGGGGGGTCCCAGGGGTTGAAGCAGGGACATGGGTGGATCGGCCTCCCAAAGTTAGTGGAGGTCGCCCATACATTTGGAAGCAATTAGTACACTCTAAATTGATCAAAATGCAATTATTCAAATTTCAACCCTTATTTTTGGGTCAATTCCTGGGACATCAGAATTAATTTTAGAGGTCTGGTTTCTTCAGCAAAGTATCTTATATTGATCTCCAGTATCTCAAAATTATATGTGCCTAACGACTTTTTTGGACCCATACAAATCGACCCGCTCTTATGTATATGTAAATATATATATATATATATATATATATATATATATTCTAATTAATTTCAATATAACAAACGCTTCAAAAAACAATTTGCAATATATTATGAATTATCCACAGATCACAAAATCTAAATGACTGAATACACGTGTAATGATTTTGTAATTTATTCTCTTGAAGTCGTATTATAATACCATTTCAAATCGCATTGCTTTACATTATGCCCGCTAATGATTTACAACTTTTAAAATGAAACTTGTGCTGCTCGTATAAATTAAACAACAATTTATTAATAATATGCATGTAGTTATTAATAATAATCATAAATTGCAACTGCAAATATATATATATATATATATATATATATATATATACATAATTAAAAAATAAATAACAGATTTTCAGGATACAAAAGCTTGAAAAACTCAAAACCAAAATTTAAAATTGTGTATTAGTAAAATTTTACGTACGTTCGGAATTTAACGTAGTGATAATTTAAACATTTTACTTCACTTGCAAATATTTGTTTGTGTACATTTTTTTATACGTTAAAAACTTTAATAAAAAATTAATGTTCTTTCTAATAATATTCAATGAAGAATGATAATATTTTAAATAAGAATATTCTATAATATGCCTTTAAAATAAATATATAAGAAGTAATAGAATATGACCTTCAAAATAAACATATAAGAACAATTATTTACAATTTTATAATAAATATAAACTAATAAAACAATAAGAATTAGCCTTTGATTTTTCAACAATTAATACACACGCACTTAAGTTCTTCTATGTAATTAAAAAAATATTTTGACCTAACAATCGCTAATATACCCCAAATAAATTTATGCATTTAGAACTCTATTTGTAATAATAACATGTTATGTAAAATAAAAATATGTGTGTCATCCCCTATAAATGTGCAATATATAAAAACACCCATGTATGGTATATATGCTTGTTTGTGTTTGTCTAAATTCTTTGCAAATGTACTAAGTATGGTTTATACAAAAACCGACTTTCCAGAAAACCGGTTTTGAAAGGTAAATTTTCCAGAAAACCGGTTTCAGCCGGTTTTCGAATTTTATATAAAAAATGAATTTTTGCTCAAATATTTTGTAAGAAATCTATGCATTTAGATTTCTGTTTGTAATGAGGATCATTCATAATAATAAAATTTGGTAGGTGACTTACTAATATGTTATATAAATATGCAATATATAAAAACACCCACATATATATGCTTTTTTGTGTTTGTCTAAATTCTTTGCAAATGTACTAATACTAAATGATTTTGAATAAACTTACCCTTTCTTCTTCTCTAATCATTTCTGCTATGCCAGGTTTTATTTCCAGATCATCTAACTTTTCGACAATGCTGTCGTTTCCTATAGATGCTCCAACCATTTTTTCCGCCTCAAATTTTGCACTTTCACTTAATGTTGCTATTGAACCATCCATTATGGCGGATGGTGAGCTATTTAGTAAGGCTCTTATTGTAGGTGGTGGGTTTACACAATTTAAAAACTTATCATTAACAAATAATTCCGAATCTATACCTAATTTACCACACATCTTCTCACTATTCGTTTCAACAAATTTATCTGGCATTTCTATCACATTCATTTTATCAAATTTCAAGTCGTAATTTCTTTTTCTTTGTTTAATTGGAATATTACTTTCTATACTTATTTCACTATAATCAGAGCGTCTTTTTCCTAAAACTGTTACCGTCTAATTGATTCTCGATTAAAAACTTCTTTTTTCGAATAAGTTCCTCAGTCTGATCACTATCGCTTTCATTATCAGAAATGGCTACACTGTCTTTTATTTTTAGGTGTTCCAACAGATCGTTACTTTTCAACCAACGACATGTAATTTCATCACTTTGTGATATTGCACCCAAGAATTTTTTAGTGTTAAACTCCTTCAAATTTTCTATATTTTTTTGGCGGCTATCAAAACATCTATCATCATGTCCCAAATCCGCCAAGCCCCTAACTTTTAGTAATTGCGCTACCTTTAACAAAGGTTCAATTTCTTCTTGCACTATATTTATTTCACCTTTATACATAAATTCAATAATTTTGGTTAATTCATTAAATTCTACATCGTTTATAATAATAAGAACATGTTCACAATTGTTTTTAAGAAATAATTCATAAAAATATGGACTACTTGCAGAAAGGACAAGTTTATGGGCTTTTAAACTTTTTGATTTAGAACAAGTGAGGGTGACATCAACAAAACTTTGCGTAACAAACAATTCACTAAAAGTTCTAGTTAAATTTGTATGAAAATTATTCCACCGCAAACAATATTGTTGCGGTGGTGTTTGAGTATTTGAATTAATTGTATAAGTATCATTAGGCATACTCATGTCTACTGGGGTACTGGACTTTATATATGTTTCATTATCGAAAAACATTTTCTCTAGAACAGATTTGTCCTCGTAAAATGTTTCATTTGCTTGATCCTTAAAAGATTTTTCTGGGTCCTTCCTATTATTTGCAGTCTCTAGATCACATGCGCTTCTGGAAAATTCATATGCAGAATTGCTAATATATCGCTTTATTTCTTGTCCTTTTAGTAGAGTTTCGCGAACAAGAGTGCCAATTATTTCAAATTTAACATCATCACCATAGTAACTTGAATTGATATCGATGGAGGGCTGAGAATGGTTTTGTAGATCAGCTTTTGATCCTATATGTGGTGCTGTATTGTATTCGCACTTTAGCGAATGCATTATCTGTAAAATAAATATTATATTAAATATATGCTTCATTTAGTCGCATTTGATGCAATTATACAAGTACACATACATATACATATATAAATGTTTATATACAGGGTAGAGCGGGGCTTAAAGGACCGGTGGTAAGAAGGTCCACCACCCATATATAAAAAATCAGTAAAGTTGAAAAAAAAATTAAAAACAATAATTGAAAGTAGAGGAAAAAAAATATAGCCAGATTCTCACGAAGTTGCTATCGGGAGATGAAAGGCAATATTTGAAAATCCATAATAAAAGTATTTTCTATCGTTGTTAGTTTTTTTAGTGGTGAGCATGGTTGCTTAGTTTACGAGACCTTAATATAATTTGTAAGCATTCTTAATTTAATTTTTTAATTAAATATATTGTAAATGCAATAGTTTTTTATATAACCTCTATGAAAGCACATACCTGGGTGTGGTGAAAAGGAGTAACTGAAATTTTACCCTGACATAGGTGTGAAAAATTAAAAGTAGTTCATAAAAAAGTAAAATATTTTAAAAGAAGCTTAAAAAAAACCTAAAATTGAATAAATAGTTATTACAACCCAGCATCGAATTAAAAAAAAGTTATATAAAATAACAATTTTTTATTAAATTATACGTTTCGACACTTGTTGTGTGTCATAATTCAGCAAATTTAAAATATATTTGACAATAATTATATTTATAATAATAATAATATTTATTATATTTGATAATAATTGTCAGTGTTGAAACATATGATTAAATAAAAAAAATGTTATTCTATTTGACTTTAGCTGCAAATTTATTTCATATAGTTATATATACCTAGATATTAAATATATATATATATATATATATATACATATATATATATACTTATATATATATAATATATCTATGTATATCTATGTATATATATATATATATATATATATATATATATATATTTTATATGCATTATATATAAGGGACGCCATTATTAATACAATACAGATGCTATTATATCTTATATAAATATTTTCTCTATACAGTTTTACAAATAATAGTTTCAATAAATCAATAAATAGCGAGTAATTGGTTTCGATTCCTTAATAATTAATAATGACGTGATGTATGGAAAAGTTTGAAACTAATTGAATTATATATTAGGCGTACTCAAATATTATTCCTTTATGAAAAATAGTCTTCACTAATGCCTACAATTTTTAAGGATAAAATATTCAATTGGTTCGGCAAGCTTAAACACAAATTGTAACAAAGAAATGAATATTATTCGTTTTTTTAAAAAATTGAAATAGTTATTTATTAATTGGCTTTGTTGTAAAAGCTTGATCTTCACAGATCTCGGGTTTGATACCCACTTCGCACAGCTTGAAGTCAAGCAGTAGAGGTTTTAGTTTATATTTGAAATTAGAAAACTAAAATATGATTCAAGGGAAAATATCCTTCGGGAGCGTTGCTGTAACACATAGGGGAAAGTCCTGTAACGCCGGACGGCACCCAAAGCCGGACGCTCTATTTAACAAGTATTATTTAGGCGAGTAAACACGGCGTCACCTAAATATCAATGAAAGTAATTCTTGTGTATTTATGCATTTATATTTTAGTGGCATTCAAAAATAAAAGTAGTACTTGATTGTTATCCGTAAAATGGTAGAATATTATTAGATATTGTAAACAATTTTAGTAGGTTCTACCAAATGAACAAAATTGTCTGTCCCTTAGCACCGGACACAAGTAGAAAGTCTTTTGGATCATTCAAATCCGATACTCCGTTCTCTCAAAAACTAGATTTTTATTTTTTGCACTTTTTACTCCGTAACTCTGTAACCTGCCTTTGCCAAAAACTGATCAACACATCTCTCTATCAATAGGAATCGAATGTTTTTTAAACCATTGTTTTTTGAACAATTGTCTCTACACATACACACACATCCACATTCTTTTTTGAGATATGCCAAAATGTTCAGAAACCTCTGAACCGTGAAGATATGCAAAAATTTTCATTTTCGAGTTTTGGCCCATTACTATAACTTACCCTATGGGCAGTTAATAAGATGCTGGTCAAGTATTTTCGTTTACATATTTTATTTTAAATTCATTTTTTCGAAAAAAATGTTTTTTTGAATACCGAAAAATAATTCAGATTTTAATTCTAATTCTAAATTGTTCTAAACATCACTTATTTTTATTTATATTTCAAATAAATAATTTTAACTTTCAGTTCATTGAATACGAGTACTTAGAAATATTTGACAATATTCTTCATTTTAAATCCGATGGATTAAGTTTGTTTATTTAATTTTTATAAAATAAGAATAATAAAAATTACATTATTTATAGTAATATATTTGATCTATTCTTCGAATATTCATTAATGTACGGGAAGTTCCAGCAATTTGCTTTAAGGCAGGATGCCATAGACTAGTTGGATATATTTCAACATTTCAGCATTCAGAATTATGTATTCTGTATAATATGAAAAAGAGTTATGAATACTAAATGACACTGATAGTTTTATAATTGACTATTAGAAGGTAGACCAATGTGTCCTATTATTGAGAAGCAACTTAATGGTGGTGCTGTTCTCGGTATCAGTTTTTAAAATTGTGATCAACTTAATCATTTTGTAGCAACGCCCGGAAGAGCAAATTTAATTTGTATAACATTCTGTAAAATAAAATTCTATTACAATGGATATATGGGCTTGAAATTTGCAGTATCAATAACATCAAAATTTCTACTCAACAAGAAAATCAAAATAAATGCACACAGCCTATTACTTACCTCTCTTTTAATCTATTGTATCCGATCACATGTTTTGGGATAAGAAAGTATAACAAACTGTTACACTTCTTAGCATTGTGTATTAACATGCTAACCTGTTGTTAGCAATACAAAGGAATAAATAAACGATGCAAATTGTTCCAGAGAAATTGTGTAATGTTAAGATGCACGTTGCTGAACTTGTCATAAAATAGATACAGAAATATTTGATCAATTTATTAAAACTTTCCAATTCCAACTACTAAAATTGCAAACTAAATTATTTTCCAAATTAGTATTCTAAATATGTCAAACCTACTACTTATACGTATGAAATTTAAAAATATAAAATGTTGGGTAGTTTTTAAAATTTTGTAGAATATAGAGTATTGCATAAAGGTTTTTTTGTCCATTATGCCGTTATGCCATACTCTATATTCTAAGTTATATAAGAATTGTTCTCACATTTTCACGTTTCATTAAAAAATTATTGAGTTTTTTAAAGTTGTACTAATTTTACACCCAAAACATAAGGAATAAATGTTACCAAATATTAAATAATACAGTCGCAGATTTGAAGAGATAACTAGTGGTGCATGGCATCGTGCCTTAAGGCAAATTGCTGGAACTTCCCGTACCGTAACGAAATATTATAAGTACTGCAACATTGTCTAATATTTATTTATTAGAATTATTTAAACTGAATTGCAAAGTTAAAATTATTCATTTAAAGTATATAATTGAGCAAGTATAGAATTAGCCAGAATTAGAATCAAAATCTGAATTATTTTCTAAATATAAAAAAAAGTGAAAATAAAATTTCTTTTTTCAAAAGCAATTGTTTAGTAAACACAAGCAGAAAGTTTTTTGAATCATTCAAATTGGATGCTTAGTTCTCTCAAACACTACAATTTTTTGTACATTTAGCTCTGTATCTATGAAATGGCTGGACCTGCCTTTGCCAAAAAATAATCACCACTTCTCCCAATCATTACAAATTGAATATTTTTTTGGATAATTCAAATCGGATGCTCCGTTCTCTCAAAAACTCGATTTCTATTTTCTGCACTCGCTGCTCTGTATCTCCGTAATGGCTAGACTTGCCTTTGCCAAAAACTAATTAGCACATCTCCCTATTAATACGAATCGAAAGTTTTTTTAACTATTCAAATCGGTTGATCCGTGCGCCCCAAAATGTGGATGAAAAATTGTATCCATACACACATCCAATTTTTCTAAGGTATGCCAAATGTTCAGAAATTTTCAAAACGTTTAAAATATATTTAACATAAGCATTTAAAATAAAACAAATGATATCTATAAAATATTTAAAAACACGAAAACTCTGCAGAGGCAAACTTTTAGGCTTATCGAACAATCATTAATGTTCCCATTTAATTCCTTTACTTAATCTATTATGCTATTATTATTATTACTAGTTAAATCTTTAGTTGTGAAAAATGTAGTATGTATAATGATAATATCTTAAACAAAATACTAAAAATACGATACATTTCATAATCGTTGTATTTGCATCACTATATTCATAACTCATGAAATGGCTCTGCTTGCTTCTCCTAAAAATCGATGCCAGCCTAACATTCCCAGTTGAAGTGAATATTTTTTAATACAGACAGAACATTTATCTCAAACAAAAATTGTTTTGTACCATAGGTACATACATGCTATAACATACACATATACTAATATTATATATTGACATATATCATATTATATATTGACTGATTGAAAGAGTCTAATAATTGATCATACAATTAATAAAAACATATTTTTTTGAAATTTATTATAAAATTTATACGTTGCAGCTATAGTTCATTTAGTAAAACTAAAAAAAACTTTAGAACAAAAATATACAATAATTATTAGGAAAATATAAGAACCGAAATGGATTGAGCTTGAAATATTAAAAACAAGTTTTTTGTTGATGTTGCACCCGATGATTAGACTTTGTTATTAATAGAACAATTAATAAAAATCTAAATCTAAATCTAAAATGATTTCGAAAATACTTCCTAGATTAAAGAATACTACTCTGCTATGATTCTAAATTTGATAAATTTTAGTCAGATTATTAACTTCCCGTAGGGTAAGTCATAGTAATGGCAAAATAATCGAAAATAAACATTTTATATATCTTTACGTTTCAAAGGTTTCT